AAAGGTCTCATATTTTTTTTAAAAAAAAAAATAATAATAATTTTTTTGAAAAAATTTAATTATTTTTTTTTTTTTTTACAAAATATATTAATTTTCAAAGCTTTAAAGGGATTTCACTATTAAATAATAGTAAAAAAATGTCTTCAAAGTAATTTTACTATTAAAATATAAGTAATAAAAATGCTTTTAAAGTTTTTGAAAAGGGATTCTTACTATTAAACCATTAGTAAAAAACTTTTTTATAATTTTAATTATTAAATCATCACGAAGATGAGGCTTCGTCAATAGAAACGTCCCATCTTACTTAGAAAATTACTAAGTAAGATAACACATATATTAAAACTACTTATGATTTAATTAATAAAAAAAAAAAAGGTCACAAATAATAAATTATTATGTAAAAATCTGATATTTAAATATAAGATTTGAATTTACGAAACCTAGGCAATTTAATGTATGTTGCTAAAATTCAGAAATTTCGTTAATAACAATTGCATTACAAAATATCATTTCTTTAATATAACCAGGAACAGTTTTTCATGTTAAAGATTTTCTTTTTTTTTTGAAATTTCTATGGATTTTCTTTACTTATTTATGAAACTAATACATTAAATATAAGATTATAAAAGATTTATTTTAAAAATAGTATTATTCTAACCTCAAATTAAAGCAATATATATAAAAAAATTTTTCTTTTATTATAAAACTTTATTTCTCGAAAAGTTCCGTGTATTTTGAATTGTAGTTTAAATAAAAAGAAAGAAATCTGGCTTAGAAAAAATGTTCTTCCAAAGTTTAGATGCTCTTTCTCTTGTTTCTAATTCGATTGATAATTTTGTAAAGTTTATTTATTTGAGAGGACAGGTGAAAGTTTGAATGGCTTAAAGCGATTCAAATATTTAAATTTCAAATAATTCTATTGGTCGATCACATCTGGTAATACCCAAATCTGTGTAACATGGTTAAACTATATAAATTAATCCTTGGGAGCGAGATTTTAACGCCACTCATTTCAATTATTATTATCATGTCTTCAAAAACAACAATTGTTCCGAGTAAAGGAATAGAAACACCAAGGTATTTAATTAAATTCTATCCAATTTTTGCTTAAAATTTTTCGATTGTATTTTAATTAAAAAAGAAAATGTTGGTCTTTTTATAGAGGAGTGATTTTTAAGCTTGCTATACATACTCTTATGATGATATTTCTTCCACTTAGCACTTATTATTATACTTCAAATCATTATTTTGAAGGTACTTTTTATAACAATGTTTTTGACTAACTCTCCTTACCATTCATATTTTAAAATGAAATTTCTTTTTTTTAAAAAAAATAATAATTTTATAATAGGAGAGAATAAAGCAACTTTCGCTGCACTTGCGGCTGCTGGAATTGCAAATCTTGTCGTATTTTCTTTTATAGTTACAGCAGCTTTAGAAGATTCTGGCGACGTACAACAAACAAAACGGGATAAAAAAGAATGATTCTCTTATAAAATTTCATCTTTTATTATTTCTTTTATTACATTTTATTTTTTTTTTTTATTAATTCTAAAGTTAGTGTTCGATTAAATTTAAAATTTGTAATTGTAACGATATAATAGATTTGGAATATAAAAAAAATCTTTATATAGTATTCTAAACAAATAAAATAAAATAATATAAGCAGAATAATTTTATAATTTTTTCACAGATATTTAACTAAGTTGGAAAAAAATATTATAATTAAATTTTCTACTTTAAAAAAGCAAATTGTTGTGTTATATAATCCACAAATAAGATGCATTATTATAATTAATTATTTATTTAAAGGGAGAAATTTAACCAGTTTTCTTCTTTGATTTTCTCTTCTTCTTACTTTTACCACTAGCAACTGAAGTTGATACATCAACATAATCTTCATCTTCCGTAACCTCTGCATTAGCTGCATTAGCAGTTACTTCAGTGATTGCGTTTTTATCCATTCTCTGCTTAACTTCATCTCCTTCGCTATCACTTGATATTTTTTTCTTGTCATTCTCCTTCTTCTTCTTTTCTTCTTCACTATCTTCGGCTGTATAATTAAAGACTTCTTTTAATTGATTTTTCGCAATACCAGTGATTAATACGGATATAATACAAGCAGGTGAAAGGTAAAGTAATGCAGGTTGAGCAGCTTTGAATGTATGCATAACTACTATGGTTGTAACAAGACCTAAAATATATGCTGCGAAACAATTATTAAAATAGGTTGTTGGGAATATAGAATTTTTTTTGGCATTGGGATGCTTCTTTAGATAAAGGCTATGGTCAAAACGAAGGCAAAGGGCGACATAAATTCCTAAGGAGATCTCACATATGGTTAATTTAATTATTTATCTCAAACGCGATCAGGTAAAAAGAAAATCTTACCAGGAACGACAATATCTCCCAGACCCAACATTGTAAATTGTAAAGCTTCATCGGGTTGTAATCCAAACCATTGTTTAGGCCAGACGACTTTGATAGGTGCATCAAAACTTTTGGCAACCGTGACCATGACCTCTGTACCAAATACCCAAAAAATATCATAGAAAAACAAGCCGCTTAAAAGAATCATGCCAGTTTTAAATGAATCAATCGATAACATTTGAATTGCATTAAATGCAAAAGCAAGTCCAAATATGTTGGATGCGATCCAATTTTTAGTCGCTACGTAATAAGCGGTGAGAAGGAGTGAAAAGAAAAGCGTAACGAGATGTATGAAAGTAAAGCTGCCACTGTAAATCTCTAAGTAGAAAAAAAAATTATTTTTTGAGTAAATAACGTAACGCAAATGATGTGAATTAAAAGAAAATCCGATTATTTGATTAATTATTAACCTTTAGCTTTCTTTGTTAAAACAAACTTGTAAGAATCTAATCTGATCCCACTAACGTTTTTGACAACATGTACTCCAACGTTTGTCATAGCAATCACCCCTAGAAATCCAAAATATCCAGTGACCAGATAATTCACATATTCTTTATCTAACAATTTGAATACTAGGTAGAGAGAAAATAATACAATAGAGCCAAACACAGGAAACATATAGGCGTCTTCTGTCGATAAAGATTCGGAAGATGATTCGTCTTCTGAGGAAGAATCCGTGTCATTACTTCGTTTAAAGGTAGCTTTCTGCTAGAATTAAAAAGTTGAGATGATAAAGAAAGGTGAAAATTAGAAGTGCTCGCTCCCGTTACAAATTCCTTGGAAAATCAAGAAAATAAAAATAAGCAGTTGTAAATTTTTATTAAACTGTTTAAATGTCGATTCGTACCTTAGGCCACTTTACTGAAGAGAACGATCCATAATAAATCGGTACCACCGCCATGATACCCAAGGCAGCGTATGCGATTAGTAGACCAGGTTCCATATTTTCGATATAATATTTGGGATTATTATAGGAAGAGTTTTTAAGGAACGTGTTAAGCTGGGAGGAATTGACTTTATAGATGGATTTTTTGCACTGAAACTATAAATGGCTGTGTTGTTGATTTTTGATTTGTTCGAATTTTGATTGAAATATTAAAATGTGGCAATCACGTAATAGATCTATGATCTTAATTTGGTTTTATAGGTTTTCATTATATTGTTTATGGTTAGCAATAAATGGATAATAGAACCTCTTTATTATTTTTATTATTTCTATATTTATCTCTATTTCTCTGTCATGCCTTGACGACTCCCAAATGGAAAGCCATCCGACATAATCTTCATTATTATTTTTTTTATTTTAAGCATAATATTTAAATAATAACTAATGTTTTTTTGAAATATTAATTTCTATTAATCTCCATTTTTACCTTGTAATCAAACGCCCTTCATATTGTGAAAGTGAAATTTTTTTGCGAGGAAAAAAAAATATATGTATTCTGTATAAATGATTTTTTTTTTTAAAGGGTGATGTAAAAGACCCTCAAATTAGCATTGATTCATTTTGTTATTTACCACCAGCATTTTCTTCTACGACGACGAGGCTTTGCGATGGGTTTTACTGGTTTTAAACTATTTAAACTATTATAGATATTAGGATACTATTATGCCACAAATAAATAAATTATTAAAATGATCATAAGAATTAGTAAAAAAAACAAAAACTTTATATAAATTCTGTAATATAAATAATCACTTACTTTCTTCCTTGCTCGACGACTATAAAAGTCGTGACAATGTTTACAGGCTTTGACCAATGTCCTTTTAAATTTGCACGACTTTTTAGCTTTCTTATTAAAGCAGAAATAACAATCCATTATCCAATCCGGAACTTTCCTCCACCTTTGGATGTACCATTTGAACTCGTCTACGCCAATCGGAGGATTTTTTACACGGTTTATGAAGTACTTTCTCGAATCACTCCATATTTTTTGAGTTCGCGTATTATTTGGAGCAACTAACCAGTTTCTCCATATCTTGCAGACTCGAGTTAGTGAGTACAGATCTGATGGTGATAAGTAAATACAGATTTCCATGAATATTTCACACGGAGCTTTCGTTGCGTCTGCTAGTGCAGGAAGATTTGGATTTGCTTCAATTCGTTTCTTCTTCCGCTGTCTCAATTTGGTTTTGTTTCGGTGATTTTTTAGAACTTCCTTCCTTAAAGCGGAAAGCTCTCTTGGTACTTTACGACGCTCTGATCAAACATAAACATATTAAACGATAAAGAAAAAGACGGATTAAACTTTTTAATTCGAATGAATTACCTTCCCTAACTTCCTCACGCTCTTCATCGTCACCGTCGTCTTCGTTTGCATTAACGAAGTCTTTCCGCACCTCTGTCCGTTGAGATTCTTTCAAATCATTAGGGGCATCGAGCTTTCTTGAAACCTGTGATTGACGTGTGATGGCTATTTTTCTATCAAAAACCTTATTACGAGGAGATTTAGGAATAAATTCTGGAGTCTCTACCCTAAGCTCTCTTTGCGTTTGTGGTACAAAAGATGGACGTCTATTAGCAGTTTTGGGGATGAAATCTGGTGCGTCAATTAGAAATGTACTTTGATGATGAGGATATTGTTGCGGATGGACATTAACAGCTTGGGGAACGAATTCTGGTGCTTCGAACCTTAATGAACTTTGATATGAAACGAACATTGATGCGTTAGCTCTTAATACCACTTGGTACGGAGGATCATAGATCAGCTGAACCTGAGGCCCATAAAGAGGATAATCGGAAAAAATTTGATTCATATATTGAGGTTGAGTATAATGGGCAGGTTGTTGTGTGTTGTATACAGGTAGTCCACTATAACAGTGAGGGTATTGATAAATCGTATAAAAATTCATTATCACTATGCTTTTTGCGTTTTATTTTGAAATTATGATTTTTTATGAGTTTTTTTAATATACTCGAGATCCTTAAATAAGAATTTCATCAATATTTTCTTTTAAAAAAGGGAAGGTCCAAATAAATATATACATCGGTTCCTCCTTTTATGCGAAAATCTTTCGATTTATCCAATCAAATTATTCATTGATGATTTTTGATTGACGTGGAAACAAAGTGAATCAAAAAAAAAAAAAAATTTAATCCAGCAATAAATGACAGATGTTAAGAAAACGGCCGTATATTCTATCGGTGAGGATCAAGGACAACTTAGAAATGTGAATTAAGCAACCCAAAAAAAATTAATGAATACTGCGGCGTATTAAAAATTCGCTTCCAAAAAAATCAGCTTTATACTTAAAATAGTAAGTAAACATTTGCTTCTTAATATAATAATAATATTTATATTGTAATTTGAATATAATATATAGCGAAAAAGATAAAAAAGATATTTAGCATATTATTGAATAAATTATCACGAATTTTTTTTAGTTTGAACTTTTTGAAGGTTTTGAGGATGAATTTTTACAAAGCCTGTCAAAAAATTACGTTTCCTGATCATCTTACCGAAAAATCGATGAATTTTCTATTTCGTTACTTTGCATTAAAATGTTGATCCGTGATTTCTTTTATTGAGCGCTTCATCAGCTTCCCAACATTTTTTTTATTATTTAAACAATAAAAAAGCAATGGGATAAATTTTTTACGAACCTCTAGAGCAAAGAATAAATAATTGACTTAAATCAACCTTTGCATTCAATTACCTTTTATAAGAATTTCACTTTGTAGTTTAGGAATCCAACAAAACAATTTATAAATGAAGACGTTAGAGGCTAGCTGTCACCTGAATTTAAAGAACTAGAGATGACTCCCTTCTTCAGTACCACGATTGGTATCTTAATGGTGGATTTCTAATTAACCAGATGCCAAGGGTCACATAAGAAATCGAGCTTTAATGAACTTTATAAGAAAACAAGAAGCTGATGAAATAGAAACAAAAGTTTGTGGAATAAAAGATCAGGATGGCTCGAATTCCAGGAAATCTTGATGAGCTCAATAATAATAATAATAATAAAATCCTAGATGGAAGCAACTTCTTACATGTTCAAAATAATCATGAATACAAAATATTAAATAATTAGAAATTACTATAATCATCCACAAGATATATGTTGATTTTATCAAAAGTTTTTCAAAAAAAACTTTTAATATAGCAGCTACAGAAAATTGCGATTTTTATGTAATTATTGTATTGAAAAATCTTAAATAAAAATATAAGCAGTATTACAATCAGATAATGTGACATTATAAAAAAAATAATAACGAGGAATCCCAATAATAATAATTCAACCATTGATCGTAAAATCTCGTGGTAAAAAAGGCAGAGAAAAAAAAAAGAATTATAAATTAATATTATCATCATTCGAGAAAAAAAAAAAAGAATTATAAATTAATATTATCATCATTCGGAAAAAAAATAATATACATATATTAAAAATTTTTTTTACCAAGTATAATATATAATTTCTATCAATGCTTTCAAAAATATGATCATTTTGTAAATGTAGTCAAAGTATTTCGAACATAATTGCTCAAAGATACATGAAAAATCAACTTATGAATTCACCTAAGAAGCCTGGCGAAGCGTACTTCTGTAGACAACCGCGGTTTCATCATAATTGCCAAAAGATTATCGAATATAGGTTAACCATGACAAGTTTTAATGAGAATACAACCTGTTTAATTATTTTGCAATGAGCAAACTTGGCGTCTAAATCTCATTCTAAGAATAAGGACATACAAGTATGTCCTCATTCTTGGATAGTATCCTGGGTTAGGGTTATCAACATTCTCAACTTAGAACAAGGCACCTTATTCATTTGACCTGATATTTCAACAGACTCTTTTTTATTTAATGCAAAGAAAAGCTTCACTTATGAATCACCCTAAGAAGCCTGGCGAAGCGTACTTCTGTAGACAACCGCGAGTTCATCAATTTGACCAACTTGGATGCTGTAGTGTTTGACCCTTGTTAAATTCTTTTGTGAGAATGACAACCTGTTTAATTATTTTGCAATGAGCAAACTTGGCGTCTAAATCTCATTCTAGAATAAAAGCATGCAAGGTAGGCAAGCTTTCATTAAGGCTGTGGGTTAGGGTACAAAAATCTCGAACTTAACAAGGCACCGGTTGCATTTTGGCATGAAGTAATCTTTGAAAAGGACAGAACGAAGAAATCGTTTTCCTATCATAACCATGTTATTTAAACAATTGGACAAAGAAAGACGCGTATGACGTTTGATCAACGTTCCACCAAATATGTTGGGCATTTTTTTTTAAGGGCATCGTAGTATCGTTACCCCAAAATTCTCAACTGTATTTATCACGTGATATTAATTAAAAAAACTATTTTACCATGTTGAAAATTTTATCAATACAATTTATAAGACAATTTTATACAGGTTTTATAATAAAAAAAAAATTAATTACAATGTTTTTATAAAGAAATAATAAATTAAATAATATTTAAGTGATTTATCACGATCTAAAGTTTTTATACAGGTATTCTGAATTCAATTTAATCATCACTAGAAGTATCATTAGAAGGGTGAAAACCTTTTCTTGGTTGACCAGCATGATATCCCCATAAATGTTGCGTTTCTTCTAAATGTCTTAATGCTTTAGGGAATACATCCATGATTGCGTTAGTTCCCCACCAGCAATCTAAATGACCATATTTATCAATTTCATGATGGACATAATTATCGATGCCGTTTGTCGTTCGTAAAATATCATAACTCTTTTTCGTCGCTGTCAAATCAAACCTGTGAGAAAGTAAAATGGAAATTAATCAATTAAAATATATGTGTGTTTTGTGCGTATATATAAAAACATTTTATACTTACACAGAGTTCATTTCTCCGTGAATTAAACAAATTGGGAAATTCAATCTATTACGAATATTTTCTTGTGTGACATAAACACTTTGACCCTGATAATTTAAGATCATTTTCTTTTGTGCCATATTATTTAGATGTTGCATCGTAGTAAGGTTCACGCTTCCGAAAAATTCATGTTGATGATCATGAATTTGTTGGTTAAGATTTTCATGTTGATATAATATACCATAACATAAAGACGCTCTATGACATAACGCACTACGACAAGTTTGACTCCTTGGTACTGGGTAGAAACGTAATAACTGATTAACAAATTTGTTGAGTAAATTAGTATCTGGAGACGTTCTTACATCAAATGTTGTTTGACGTAATAAGTGTCTCCATAATGGAAGGATTTGTAAATGCAACTTGACATTATTCCAAAAACCAAGTATAGGGTGCATTGCAACTTGAGAACCAATCAGACATCCAACCCCTTCGATTTTTCCATCTAATAATCCCATAAATGTCGATATCGATCCAACGCAATGAGCGATTATACCAATTTTCTCAACACCAGTAACGTCCCGAACTTTACTGACAGCAGCGGCGAGATCTAATCTAATACCATCTAGAGTGTGTTGTTCTTTAGATGCTGAAATTTTTGGCGATAAACGATGATCAACTAAAAATACATCATATCCATGTCCCAAAAGATAATCCAATAAGTTATTCCTTATTAAATTGGTTGACCACATTTCATGCGTCATAGCGGCTCCATGAATTAAAAGGAGTGGCCCTTTTCTTCCACCTTGGTATCTGACTAATGTAATTTTAACACCATCTTCGGCAGTTATTTCCCATACCTCTTTATGCGGTCTACTTTGATGATAAAATGGTTTTGCAACTGGAAAAGTTTTGCTGGGATATTCTAAAGGAAGGAATCTGGAAAATACGTGTTTTAACATGGTCGTTGCAAAGAAATCATTGAACGTAAACATGGCTCTGATCCTTGATACATTTGTTGGTCCAGTTGCCTAATAAAAAATCATATTTAAATATATTTCATAAATCAATAATTTACAATAAATTATGTCTATTACCGTAAATGTAGTCATTTGCTTCAAGAATTCAAAAGGGCTCATTTGTAATATCCCTCTACCAACAACTTTTCTAGTATCATCTTCCTCCTCTTCTTGACTAACATTAACTTCATCCAAATCTTCATCTTCACCCTCTTCGCGTAAATATACTGTAACATATAAATTTGTAGTTTGTTCCCACGCGTCTCTCATTTTGCCATTCTTAACTAATTTATATCCTTTGAACCGATATCTTGTTCCATCAGTAGCGCGTAAATTCAAATTATACATCATTCTATTAGAATCAACTTTATCAGTTTCTGGGATGAACAAACGGAATTTTCCACGTGATACAAGCAATGGATCAGGGGATAAAGCTCGACACGATACAGTGCCAGTAATCAATGCTGAATGATCATCCATGTCAACAATTGTCTCTGCGCTATAAGCAATTACTGTCAACAAAAATTGCATTGTTGAATTTGCAGATCTTGCTTGTACTAAATAAAAATTTTAAATTTTGATTTTAAATTTTAACTAAATAAATAAATATATAATATATATATATATATATTTATTTATTTTATTTTTAAAAAAAAAAAAAAAACAAAAAAAAAAAAAAAATCCAAACATTTGCTTACATTCAGCAGTGGCATAATCTGTTGATAAAACTTCTGTCGAAAAATAACCTCTCATGACTTCGGTGAAACGTATCCCACCGTCTAACTCGTGACCTTTTCTCGGTCTTTTTATTAAATCACGTTCATTTTGTTCATAAAGTTTCAACGGATGATCAAAATCAATTGGTTTATTAACAAGATCATAATCAATTGTCCACCCACGATCTTTTGCTGCATATTCACAAATTCGTTCGGAAAATGCACTAATAGTTAAAAATGGATTGACTCCAAGAGAAGTTGGTATAACTGCACCATCACATACGTAAAGACCTTCATGAACATGATTGTTTTCTCCGGTAAACACCTGGCCTTTGTGATTTACAACTCCAGATTTTCCATCATTGCCCATACCACAACCTCCAATTGGATGAACCGTAAGCATTCCACTTCCAAGAAGTTTTGACCACAACGGAGATGGTATATAAGTTCCATTCGATTTAATTGTAACGTCTTCTAAAACCTTATTCAATTCCATCACTGTATCCGAAGTACCTACACCTTTATATTCCATCTTCAATCGATCATTTACCAATTCTAATTGACCCGTGTTATCATCGTGTGACATGATCAAGTAAGTTTGAGTATGTGATATGGCGCCAGTATAATACCCTCCAAATGCTGACCTAATCTGTCTCAATCTTCTGTTAATAGATTGTGAATATGTAAGATTTTTCGGCTTGGAACCAACCAGGGTACTTCCTGATTTGAGGAAAAGTTGGAAGGATTTGCCCATAGCAGGGGGAATGACCCCTTCTTCAATCACATATCCCTTGAGAACATTTTCAGCATCATGGCGCATATCAATGATACCGGTAATACATGGGCCAACCGGAGCTTTCATATTAGACGCATCATGATCTCCTGATCCAATACTATTAACAAAATTATCCATGTTATAACCAAATCCAAAAATCTAGTGATCGAATTCAAATTTTTTTTAAAAAAATAGTGAAAGGTCATAATATGATAAATTTTAACAATCTTAAATACTCACGTCCCCATTACCACTAAATCCTTTCCCTAGACGATCGCTAACTTTTAAACCATACGATCTTGACCGTAATAGGATCTCATTCGATCCAAGAGTGCCAGCACCGAGGAACACTACATCAGCGATAACAAAGAAAGGACAATAACGACTCTCTTCCGAAAAATTGGTGCGTTTGTCCTTTAAAGAAAAAGATGGGTTAACAAAATAATAAAATCAAGTTTGAGGTTTGACGTTTAACAGATCTTTAACTTACATCTAACCATTCGTAAAATATAATATACTTATTGGTTTTATCACATTTTTTAATTCTCTGAACGCTACATTCACAAAAAATTTCACATCCATGATTCCATGCGTCAGGTATGTAATTCATTAGGGTACTATTTTTACTACCGTCATTAATTCCTGTACAGTCATTTCCAGTTAACGTTGATGCGCGCTGACGTACTCCTGCAGCATTTACACGATTTTCAAATGTAACAGTGATAGGCACTCTCGAGAAATTTTTATGATATTTATCTCCCAATAATTTCGCTTGTTCTTCTAAAGTTTTTAATTTGGGCAAATCAGGTAAGTTTGAAGGGTAAGAAACTGGTTCGAGCATTTCTCTAGCTCTTTCATAACCTAAAGTAAATAATGTAAATATAAGGTTTGTGCGAAGTACATTAAATAATACACAAATTGATTTAATACCTCTTTTTAAACTTTGGTGGTCATTTCTGATTTCATTAGGCCAAACGGACATCTGCCACACACGATCGTCGGCTTCAAGAGCTACATTTGCGTTAATAAGGGAAGTACCCCCGAGGCTAAATTATGAATTTAAAGGTCATGATTAGATCGGAGTAACTGCGGAATAAATAATTTGATGATCGATCTGGACGAGTACTTACCCACAAGCTACCACAGCATCTTGATTACTCCCATTATAAAATTGATACAATCCAGTTTTGTTACCAGTATTTCTCTTTGGTGAATTATATTGAACTTCTTTTAGGCAATCTCTTAGTTTAGTTGGAAATTCTCCAGGCCATCTTTCTTTTCCTAGTTTAATTATTAAACTAAATTTGAAGTTTTTTTTTTTTAATTAAATCATTAATGTAAAACTAACCTTTTTCTAGCAAGGCAACGCGTTTTCCAGCTCTTGAAATTCGTGAAGCTGCAATGGCACCGCCATAACCTGACCCGATAACCACCACATCGTAATTTGATTTCATTTGAGGTACAGGTAATGATATGTGAGGATATTCTTTATGTTCTTTAGCCATTTTTTCTTAATCCGTATGTTTGGTCAAAGATTTTTTTTTAAAAAAAAAAGGAAGAGAAAAAATTTCATTAATTTACATAAAAAAGAATTTTTTTGTGAAAAAAGAATTTTGATTACAATCATAGTTATTTATGTTTTGAAAGGAAATTGATTGTCAAATGAGAAATGGCAACAGATAAAAAAAAAAGCCAACCGACCAATAATCGACTTTGTACAACAAAGAAAATTGTTAAACTTGTCTTTTTGTCCTTGAATAGTATGAATAGTAAGTAATTGTATGTTAGACGAAGGATTCTGATTGGTTAAAATAATGAGAAATAGAATATCTTTGTTCAGAGAAATAAAGACTTTTGAATATTCTTGGGAAGAATTGAAATTTCTATTAATATTAATAAGTAGTTTTAAACTATGTTTTTGGAATTGAAAGAAGTAATTGATTTGTCTTTTGGGATCAAAAGACAAAAGAAAAACTCGGCTAATTTTTTCACAACTTTTATGATCAAGTTTTCCAATTAAAAGATAATGTATATGACGATTTTAATAATTGAATCAAATTTGGTAATTCTATAATATTAATAATTTGGTGCTACGCCACTTCAATTGGCTTTTTTTTGAATAACTTTTAAATGGCGGTCAAAGTAAGCGAAGCATCATGGCTGAGGGAAAATGTATAAAGCCGAGAAATTTTGTAACTTGACGCGCAAGTTAATTGATTGATTTATTTAACAAAACTTTTTAGAAATAATGTTTTAGCGAAAAGAATTTGGTTTTGAGGAGTGGAGAAACCAAACAATTCTTTGGGATTTGCTAAAATTTTAACTGTGATAGTCTTGGACTGAGCGCTAGACTTTTCGCCGGATGTAACAAGGAAACCTCATACCTTTTTTACACCTTATTGCCGTGTCAATCAAGTTTGGTGGCTTACAGAATGTTCCGCCATCTCGCCACCATTATTATCTAAATAAACAATGAATGTATATAATCCATTCAAAATAAAAGATGACAATTTTTTGAATTGTTTTCTTCTACCGATTACAAATGAGAGGCTTTTGAGACAAGATACTCAGAAGGGTATTTCATAGCAAATCTCCATGTGAAACCAGTTTAATGTCTCTTGAATTGGAATTTGTTTACTTTTTTCCATAAGGCTGATATTTAAAACACCCTGTTTGTAACTGGTTTTGTAATTTATCGACGTGATTGCATCAAAAGGTATCAGATCAAAACTGCGGAATCGTGACTTGAAATTTCGTTCAATCCACCACTTAATCTAAAATGACAGATCGAATTTTCAAATAAAAGAATTTTTTTTTGTTTGAAAGTCAAAAAGCCTCTAAAAATAATGAATTGGCTAAGCCATATTCAAAGGTAATTAAAAAAAAAACTTACCGGTTTCGTTTTCGGATAGATAATTGAATGATTTGATAAGCCTCAAAGTTATCAAAAAAAAAAAAAAAAAAAGGAATTTTTTTTTCATAAAATTTCCTTTCCCTGCTTCCTCTCAATTCATGTAACATATCCTTTTTTTTTTCGCGAAAAAAAAAAAAAAAAATGATTGATTGCTGTTGTTGTTGGTAAGTAATGATCTTAAGGTTGCATAGAGGTTGTCACGTGCCATGTATAATAAAATTATGTTTTACAAAGTATCCCGGTTCGAGTAGGTACAATTATCCTCGCTATAATCAGTTTGGTAAATTTCGGGATTTGATTTTTTTTCTTTTATCTTAAAGATTGCAGATAATATTTATTAAAGTGCATATTATATATTCTTATCACATAGATCATTTCAATATTTGGAGCTGTTGGTTATCTAGGAAAACCCGATGGTATTTACTTGATGCTTTATGTGTTAAAAAGAGATCGAGTACGTTAAATTATTACCAATATTTTTGTGACGAAATTAGATGTCTCGGTTGGAATGCCTCATGGCCTTACCACAGTTTTTGGTGTCTTATTTATTATTATGGCATTGATTTCCATATTTGGAATCATCGGATCACTTTTCGTAAGTAGAAGAGGAAATTTTAATATATATCTGAAATATGAAAGAAGAAATAAATGAAATAATCAATCCATATATATATATATAATTTTTTTTTTTTAAAAAAAAAAAAAATAAAATAAAAATAAAATAAATATTTCAAGTCATCTTCCGGAGGAATTCGCATTTTCGAATGGATGTTATGGGGAATCGTAGTTGTATATTTTATTATTTCAGCGGTTACCATTTTCAATTTATTTAGTAATAAACAGATAGCGGTTGATAGATGTATAGTAGAGCTTCAAGGAAAAGCAAATCACGCTTTAGGAGACATCGATCAAGCTAATGCGGATAAAATCATTGTAAGTGATGTAACGAATGCTACTACAAGTTCTATCAATAATGCAATTAGTGGAGAATTACCTAAAATTTGTGAACATCGGGAGGAAATACGTATTTGGGTTAAAATTGTAATCGCTTTACTCGTAACATTATTTGGGGTAAGTAAATATTTATTTGAATCTGCTCTTTGAAATTAAGTATGTGCACCCATGAGAATTGATTATTCATTTAACCTTTTTTTTTTTCCTCAACAAAAAAAAAAAAAAAAAAAAAAATTTTTTATTAAAGGCTTATTTCGCTGGCGTTGTTTCTCGTTTTGCTGATGAGATTAAACCCGCAACATTCAAAGGTCATAATAGGAAACGTAATTTACACCTTGCTGCCGCATCTTTATCAACTACGGATGTTAAGGGATATTAAGGTACCTTGAAAACCCGCATTTTACTATTCTTTTTTGGATAAGTGATTCAATAATAGGACGCAAAAAAATCGTTCATAGATAGTGTACTTTAATTCATTATTTAGATCTTATTATATTTTTTTAATAGTTTATTTAGAAATGTGAAAGCAATTTCTTTCTATCAAATTACAATATCTTGGTATATAAAGTTATACGATAAGTCCAACTTGAAAAGTTGGCGAACGTTTCTATTCTTGTTATTTTATGAAATGATTCCCGCGATAAAAACATAACGATGTGCGTCAAGGTTCAAGACGGATTCCATTGATTTAAGTTTATCTAATATTTGACCTTGGATACTATTTTCATCTGACAATAAAAAGTGTTCTTTTGCTCGAACTACTTTTTTTTTTCCTCACTTTTTGAAAATTTCTCGATATTTTGTTATTTTGCAATTGGTAAATCCAAAGATCACGCTCACGTGATATAAAGGAACTCTCCGAAAAATAATTTCAGTAGAATGTAAAATTAATTTACAATTTTAATCTTTTAAATAAATTAATGTTTTAATATTTTTTTTTTTTTTTTTTTTTATGATACATTTGATGCTTCGTTTTCCTATTTTTTCCTCGTAATTACAACTGTACATCCAGCAGAATGAATGCAATGTTGAGATACCATCCCTATTTTATTAATATTTCGCAAAGAAGTTCCTCGATGACCCATCACTATTACATCAACTTTTTGTTTTTTTGAAAAATCAACAATATATCTTGCAGGATCAGAACAAGAATTTACGAAGCATTCCACATTTAAATTTGGTACCTAATAAAAATAAATAAATAACAAATATGCAAAGTAAAATTTTGTCGTATATCATTTTATGTCGTGATCAAATTTTGTGCGTAAGGAAAAGAAATAAATAAAACAAACTTGAAAAAAAATCTCATTTAAAAATAATCATAAGTCTATTGCAAACCTCATTATATCCCTGTGTGGAAAAAAAATTTGTGATGAGTTTTTGACCATTATTTATAATTTCCCTCGCATGTTCTTCGGCCTAAAACAGGAAAAAAAATTTTTTTTTGTTAAAAAAAAAAGGGATCAAAAATAATCAATCCTTTTAAACTTTTTAAACTTTTTTTAGAATAATAAACCTTTTGACGTTCTTTCGTTAAATCATTTCCATTTAATATATTCCCTTAAAACAAAGAAATCAGATAAGATTTTTTGTGTGTAAAGATGAAATAATAAATGTACTTACGAGTTACGGCGGAATATTCGCATGGAGTACCTGCAGGTAATACACCTACGCTTAGCAGTAGTAAAATATCATTTTGCGGATTAACCAAGTTTTCAAGAGCCCATAATAAAGAGTATTCAGAGTGATCAGAACCGTCTGTAAAAAAAAATTAAAATATGATATAATAAAATAAAAATACCATCGTAATTAATTATTTATCTTTAATGAATGGATATGAACTTGAATAACTCCTCTACCTAGCGTTATTAAATATTTATTTCTCATAACTTTTTATTCTCGATTAAAGCGAAAAGTAAATAACAAACACAGGCACAGGGGGAAGGAGTAAGATTAAATTTGTGTAAATTATTTAATAAATAAGGAATATCATGTCATGCATCCCTCCTACATGATCACTAAAAGCAATTTCATACGCCAACTATTTATGATCGAATTTTTTCCTCCCATAAAATCTTTTGGCGCAGATAGATCACGTGGACCCTAACTATAAATCGAAACATCTTTTCATGTTTCACATGTTTGTGTTTGGATTTTTTTTATTTAAAAATTAATTTCCTCGTTTCATTATTCGACCAATTAGTCGATAAAATTTTTTATTTGTTTTTATATTTTCTACATTATTAATGGAAAAACAAAAGTGCTTTAAACCTGAATATCATTAACATAATGATAGGGTATTCATAAGTGAAATGCATTAGTGTAGATTCAAACAAAAGGTGTGGAACGATACGCGAAAATAATAATTAATAAAAAAAAATAAAAAAAGAGCAAATTAAAATAAAAATAAACAAATTTTCATAATACGCGAAAAATTCAAATAAATAATGTTTGAACATTGTTCGATTTATTGATTCATTATTCATTCAGCCCATATACTTTATCTTTGTTGAATTTTTTAACTTTCTTGATCCTTCATTTCCAAATTTAGCCATCATAGATTATATTAAAATTAAATACACCAAAGTTTTGCGTGTTGGTTCCTTTCCGCCTTATTCCCTTCCCTCTCTCAAAATTATAGAAAGTGAAGTTTTGGCAGCGCCAAACTCACAAATCTTAATATTTACATATACATACATATTTAGAAAACGCTGAGCGTTCCTTAGAAAGTAATAAGCGGCGATAGAAATCAAATAGAAAAACCGAAACTCTTAAATGTGTTTTTTTTTCGTGGATTTTTCCAAAAACAACCTACTTTCGTATATAAAAAAGCTGGAATAACAGTGCCCGATTTAAAATGGGTCGCACTTTGGCACGAGTAACTGTATTTTTAGTCTCAGTCTCATTGCTGGTAAGTTATTCTCACGCACGTAAACCAATTACCTTCGACTTTAGAATTTGAATTAACACAAATTTCGGTATGTAGCTGTATTCAATATTTGTTGCAACCGTTACTTTCATCAAACTAAATTGTAAGTGAAGACTCGGTTTTTATTAAAAGTATAAAACGGACATATTGATCATTTTTAAATCCTTTCCTGTAGTTACGGCTTCTCATCTTAGCGAACCGCTTCTAATAGGATATGGTGTAATTTTCGTGATTATAGCTCCCTCCGGATTATGGGGAATTATTGGATCTACTCAGGTATATATAAAAATATTTACTTGCATATTTGGAGGAAATGATCTGCATTCATGTTAATTAAACAAACTCAATCTAGAATAATTCGGAATTATATGATCGATATTTAAGAGATCATTGGTTTTCTAGTGGAGTTGTTACTATAATGGATGGAATAAAAATCGTTCTTTCCTTTACAATGAAAAATGATTCGATAAAAACATGTTTAACACCAACAGATTCCTCTGAAGCTGCAATTGGCGAATGTCGTAGAAGGGTCGAATTTAATCAAAAAGCGGGTTTAATTATTTTCGGGGCGCAAGAATTTTTTTTGGTAACGATATGCCTCATTTTTTATCAAATATACTTTCTTATGCCCCCTTATTTGCAACATTAAAATAATTCGGTCTCTTTTATAGATTGTTCTTGGTATTCTTGTATGGTTTAGTTGTAAACGTATTGCACGAAAAACAAATGGAAATGGCAAGGAGGTATTAGAGCGACTTGATTTAAACGAATACATTCCAGATGAATCAAATGATGCTTCAATTAACGCTTACAATCTAAGAGAACAAAGACAAAACCTCCCATTAGAGAGAATAGATGTTCAACCACCTTCACCATTTGCACATCGTCGTCCATCACAATATATTAAAGGACAAAATGATCGACGAAAGATCGAACAAATCAAACCTGAACCTATGCCAAATATCTTAAGGTCCCGTGAAGTTCAAGGTGATCAATACGATGATAGTGATAATGTACAATATACAACGCCACAACGTCCTCGAAGAACATCATACAATCGGCAAAATACGACGCCTATTGAATTACAATCGCAACGACGAATATCATCAGTTTCTCAAAGCATGAATTCAGTGGCTACAGTAGGTCGTTCAAAAAGTACGAGAATGGCAACTCCCCTTGCTCGTTCGAATAATAACGTGTTACCTCCCCGATTACCAGAAAATCAACATATGCAACAAATCAATTTTCCGCAAGGAATTCGAAATATAGTTCCTTTTGCACCACATTTTAGTAGAACACCTCTACCACAATTTCAAGCACCACCAAATTTTCAACCTCCACATCCATGGCAACAACAATGGCAACAGCAGCATCTAAGGCAACAAAATAATAATAATCGGCAACGGTTTAATGATGTACCGGATCCACCTAAAGAAGCTACCTTTCGGGCACACAGACGTTCAAGGAGTCATCCTCAACTTCGTCCTCTTCCGGCTCCCCCAATTTTAGATAATTCTACAATTCAACAAGCTCGTTCTGTCCATCCTCAAATTCCTCAACGGCAAGCACCGACACCACAAATAATTGAAAATGTACTAATAGATGAATCAAAAGATGATAGTAATAATTCACAAAAGATATCTAAAGTTGCAAAACGATTATCAAATTCATCACGATATAAACCATCCTTATCGCCTGTATTTGAAGATAGAACTTCGAGGCTTCATTTATCACCTTTACATCGTTCTAATTCGCTACCAAATTTAAATGACCCTGAAGATTTAATGAGAAATGAATCATTCTTAGCTCCACCCGTACCATTAATTCCAGCAAGCTTATATCCTGGTAATACTAATAATTACAAGTCAAATATACAGGTACCTAAATCACAAGCATCAATAATAAATCAAAATAATGCTGATAAGCTTGAAAGATTTATTGATGCGTATGGGCATAAGGATTATAATATGAAACCAGAAAACCTTCAATACAATTATTCAGATGATAATTATAATAGCTGGAATACACGTGAAAATGATGATTATGTTTTCGATAAAAGAAGACCAAAATCGGCTCATTCAGTGGGCGGAGAAGCTCGTCCTAAATCTTCGGTTTCTTCAATATTTGGTGAAGATAGTTGTTATAACAATCATTATTATTATGAACCATCAAATTACGAAATGAATCAAGGAGCGATGAATAATTATACTTATCTCCAAAATTTAGGTCCAATAACCCCTGCAGAATATAATAATGGAGGAAAGTTTGTTCAAAAGTATCCAGCAGAAATAAGAGGAGACTATGATTGGGCCAATTATAATCGACAAGGATCACAAAAAAACTATTAATAAAAAAAAAATCATAAAAGGAAAAAAAATTTTTTTTATGATAGAATTCCTTTCTAAATTATAGACAAAAAAAGTAATAATGTTAATTTATATTTTTTAACACTTTATTTCTTTATTTATCAGAATAATCCGTTATAATACACACACAAACCTTAATGTATCATAATTTGTTTAAATAATTCTCGTTTTTCTTGCATTCGTAGTTTTTTTTTTTTTTTTTTTGGATATTGGGGATTTAAGGATTAGTATAAGATTTTTTTTTGTAATTAAAAATGTATTATTAAAAATATAATCTTGATCAAGCGTATTTTGTGACATTACATTATCAAATTGGACTCGAACCAACATTAACGGCTATTAAGAAAAGATTATAACTTCATTAATAGAACAACCCAACTAGCAAAAATCGAAGCAAACAATAGAATGCTTTACATTAATTAATCTATGCGATTAGAGATCACGAAAAATTTAAAATCTTTTAAATCATTCAAAAAATGTAAAAGAGAATATTGTTTTCTCATTTATAATTCCCACATAAAGGAAATTTGAAAACAACCTTCATTATATAAATTTCTCAGTTCTATTAAAACAAAAATTATTTATTTTTATTCTAAGATCACATTTTTAATAAAAAAAAAATTGTTAAATTATTTCTTTAAATTAAATAATAATATTATTGACTTCGATTAATAATCATATCAACGAAATTTAGTCTTCGATATATGAAAATGATTTATTAATGAATTCGTTAGTGAAATTCGTTAATTGTAATCAATTGTTAACGAATGTTGTTAACGAATCTTTATTAACGAATTGGTTACTTTATATAGTTTCAAGTTTTTTAAAAAGTAATCAGAGTATTTAACAGATACCTATGATTGCTGATCAAAAAAAAAGGTGATGCTCTATTTTTTTTTTTTATCTTTTAATTAGATTAGTTAAGCAATAGTCATATTTATAGTTTAGTAACTACAAATACCTTATACTAGAAGTTTGAATCTGCTTATGTTAGTTTTTAAATAAATTAATTTAAAACAGTGTAATGTTAGCTTTAGATTAAATAGATATTGTTATAGTTTTATATTTTAGATAAATTTACTTTTATCTTAATAAAAAATTACCTATTTATAAAACTATATCATTTGTTAAAATAGTAAGCTATTGTGAAGGGATATACATAATATGTCAGAGTGATACGAAAAGGTGTGAAGATGAGAGTAGTATACATCATTCCATGTGACATTTACTCAAGTGATGAATAAGATTAACCGGCCAAAATTATAATAATGTGTGGTATATATAACTTGAATACGCTTCACACAAATGTCACGTGATCATAATAAACATCACTGTACACCACTCATCACCTTCACGGGACTCCACGCCTTTTTGAATTACCTAATATATCATATAGATGGTTATATGATCTATTCATTTATTTTTTCATCATTTTTAAAAATTTTTTTTTTTTTGCAATTACAAGAAGTTTCATTCTTTTTTGAGATCTTCTTAAAAGTTGAAAAGAAAGTATGATTTTAACAGTTAAAATAAATATAATTTTACATAAAAAAAAAAATTTTCTTAGGTTATAAAAATAATTATTCAAATAATTTTTGTATAAAATGCAAAAAATTGATTTTTTTATTTAAAAAAGTTTCAATTATTCATATAATAAATATATCAAATAATAGATGATTTTTCAATAAAATCTTCTTAAACTAAATGAATTATTTACTTTTAAAGGTTTATAAAAATTTTCACAAGAAGTAAATAAATATTTTGATGCAATAACTATTCAATTTAATTAAAATGCAACACAATTTACATATCATAAAATAAAAAAATATATATATAATTTTATTGATCAAATGATCAATATCTATATTAATATCATTTGCTATGATTGACATGTGACATATTCTACTGCTAATATTTTTAATACTTTAATAATTCCTAATATATATAACATAATCAACATAGTTAATATAATTAATATATTAGATATATTAGACTAATATAATAAATTAGACATATATAATATATTAGTTTATTTTACTAATTTTTGTTATTCTATATGATATGAAGAATAATTAGGTTATTCATAAGAAATAGATATAATCACATGCATATAAGCATACAGTCAAACCTTGATATAGCGAACCCTTGATACAGCGAATTTTTAAATCAAATATATTAAAATTACCTTACTAT